AGAGCTATGTCATCTAAAGTAACTATATGATTACACAGCAGATTTTTATCATTTTCACAGGCCCAAGCACAATAACTTCAGTTTTGTCAGAGTTTAGAAGTAAGAAGTTGCAGGTCATCCAGGCCTTTATGTCTTTAAGACATGCTTGAAGTTTGACCAGCTGATCTGATTCATTTGGCTTCATAGATAAATATAACTTGAGTATAACTAACATCAAGCTGCCTTTGTGAGGCTAAAGACACCAGTGTGCTTTTGACTGCTAAAGATCAGAAGTAGTCATTAACGTTATGCATGTTAGTGATTATTAGTTATTAAATGTCTGAGTGATTCTGTCACTTTATGTGGCACAGTGTTATCTGAAATGTCAAGTTGTCAGTTAAGCTGTGTTTTTTTTTTTCTTCCCCTCAACTTTTACAGTTAAATCCTACAATAAAATACGGTATCTGCCTTTTTTGCAGGCCTCTAATGGTAGTAACTCAGAAGGTCACCATGCTGGCTTTCCAGCTCCATGACGGTAAGACAAGAGAAGATACGCACATACAAAATCAAATGCACACAGATTTTGGCAAGCTGTTTATAGCGGCAACATGCTCCCACAGTTATTTAAGACCTTTAACATGTGTGTTTTTCACTGCAGACTTCTTGACCTGTCGATATTGGAAGAGCACAGATGTTGCTCCTTCTGTTTGAACGTCCCAGTAAGCCAGGACGTTGTGACAGAGTGTCAGCGTGCACAAAAATATAGAACTGAAACAGCTAAATGGATTTCAGCCATTGTTAGTTTTATTATTTACAGCTGTACTTTTCCTACTATGGCATGTTAAAATATCCTCATGAAAAGGCCTGTCTGCTTGTTAAGTGTGATGTAACAGTCCACATACAGGTCCAGACTTCCCCAGACCCAGATGGTGGAGCCTGTCACCCTCTAAACAGTAACATCGTTTTTAGTGAGGCATCATTGAGACTAAATTAAAAAACAAATCAAACGATGCTTTCAGATCATACACAAATGAGTCAATCATATACACACTGCAGCTCAGTCATTAGACACTACATCAAAAAAAAGGAGAACACAGCATCCAGGACATGTAGTTACAACAAAAAAAAGTTTATTATATAGTGAATTTACCAAAAACCATGTTACGATTAAAATGCAGTCCACTCACACACAGGAACCAGCATGTGTGTGTGTGTGTGTGTGAGAGAGAGATAGATGTGTTTGTGCACACACACAGATTCTTCAGACAGGTCTCTATCTGTGAATGAAACTAGGAGACGGGGTGTGAAACTATTCTGTCCAGATTTACTGTACAGGATCCTAATGCCCTTCATTGTCACCTCACCTCAGGCACTTTTTGGCGTCCTTAAATGGTTATTTACTGAAACATCTGAAAACTAAAGTGTATTGTATTGCGTGTTCATCTGTTCACTTCCTACTCTGTCGGCACTATAATATGCTGTATATTGTATTGTTCTGCTAAAGATCAGAACCAGTCATTAACTTTGTGCATGTTAGTGATTATTAGTTATTAAATGTCTGGGTGATTCTGTCAGTTTATGTGGCACAATTAGTGTTTTGCAACACAGGTTCATCACAGTGTGAATTGTGTTTTAGTGAGAATGTGTTTAGAGTTTAGCAAAAAGAGTGCATGAGATTTGTTAACAGAGTCTAAGTGCCTGAACTTGTTTAAGGTTTTGCAGAAAGAGTAATTTATTCAACAAATTGATTTAGGCTATTGAGAATTTGGTTCAGAGAATGGGGTTTATTGTTTTAGCAATTGTGAAAAACTGTATTATTTACAGCTGTACTTTTCCTACTATGGCATGTTAAAATATCCTCATGAAAAGGCCTGTCTGCTTGTTAAGTGTGATGTAACAGTCCACATCCAGGTCCAGACTTCCCCAGACCCAGATGGTGGAGTCTGTCACCCTCTAAACAGTAACATCTTTTTTATTGATACATCATTGAGAGTAAGTTAAAAAACACTACATTTCTTTGATTCAAATCAGTGTTGCCGTTCTGCCTGCTGGCATAATAACCAAACCAGCCTGTCTGCTTGTTAAGTGTGATGTAACAGTCCACATACAGGTCCAGACTTCCCCAGACCCAGATGGTGGAGCCTGTCACCCTCTAAACAGTAACATCGTTTTCAGTGAGGCATCATTGAGACTAAATTAAAAAACACTACATTATTTTGATTGAGACTAAATTAAAAAACACTACATTCTTTTGATTCAAATCAGTGTTGCCGTTCTGCCTGCTGGCATAATAACCAAACTTTATTACATGTAGTAGTAAATTTATTCCAATATATAGCCTATATCAATTCTTAACTCATTTTTAATAGTTTCCATTCCAATATATAGCCTATATCAATTCTTTTTTTTAAATAGTTTCCAGTTTTACTGTTACTTTCATCAGAGTAAAATGTGTCTGTGTATAGTGTTTACATGAACTTTGTGCTAACTATCTGATTGACTGTAGTCATTTCTTTTTCTCTTTCCTGCCGCAAGGAAAGTGGTAAAATGAAAGCTGGCCTGAGATTTTTGATTCAGATGTGCTGAAACAATGGGGGACACAACACTGGCGTACGGAGAGGAGGAGGATGAACCGAAGTTTGGACCTAGAAACAGAATGTTACGTCACCGCTTAACATACGGATTAGAGTGAAATTATTAATCCTTTAGAGGTGGAAAATACAGATGAAGTGGACTGATAGCAGGTTGCAGAATGATGAAAAAATGAAAAGAGTTCATCCTTTGTTTTTCAGGTATGTGTAAGAAATCGGAGCACCTGACCTCAGACCAGAAACCTCTGGCTGTAAAGTGAGTTTTTACAGTGTGGTAAAACATACTAACAACTATGTTGTTGTGTGAAACCTCAGGGGATGGGCGTTCTGTTGACACACTAATGATAAAGTGAAGGTTTCTGGCAGTGTTCTTGTTCTTCCCTCCTGATGTTTACGGATTTCCCTGATGATTTACCTGACCTCTGAGGTGCATATACATTACCTCACAGCATTAATATGTATCTGGACCCAGTGTCCTTGTCAAAGTAGGCTTGTGCAGGACATTGCATCTGAATTGCCACCTTATTTTAAGAATAAATGACTCTTTCTTCTCCTTTAGCCACGAAGGACAATGACAAGGAGATGTGATCATGGTGAATAGCTTGTTCATGTAAAAAGCATGCTGAGAACGTAGAAAAGAGGGAATCATTTTGCATGGAAAATTTTACATTTTTGTGCATGTGACTTGAAAAGACCACATTCATCAGTGTACCATGCATGGCGTTTTAAAATCAAATTTATCCCCCCCCAAAAAAAAAACAATCATAAAACATAGTGTTGTTCTGGTTTTATAATTCTGCAGCTGTAAATTATCTTTGTTACCTACTTTAAGGTTCCTGTGCTCCCTGTAGGGTTGGTATCACCAGCAATGTAGATAGAAGGTGGGAACATTTCAAAAATCAGTAATCTTAGTGAAAACCCAATTTATTTATTTATTTTAGCATAAAGTTGTTTTTTTTTTGTTGTTGTTTTGTTTTAGTAAATGTAACTGGCCAAAAGTCACAACATGTTCTCAATACCGAGCCATTGTTTCCTTAAAAGCTGTGTAAGTTGTACACCTGGATGGTCGAGGGATGAAAATGAGAAGCTAATGTACAACAGTGAGATTGTCTCTGTGAAACCTGAAGTCACGTTTTCATTCACAGAATATTTACTCTCATGTAAATTTTCATCTGCCTAACAACTGTACACTTTTACCCCTTGGTTGTTCTTTTAAAGATGGCATGCTTTTCTCACATTTCCACCCAGTTTAGATGAAAACGTGTTACCACAGTTGTATGTGTTACCGTTCTGAAAATGATATGTTTCGCTTTTGTGTTTTGAATGACTCCTGTTGTTCTCTCTGCAGCGTGAGGCCTTCTCTCATCGAGTACCTGAGTTACAATCTGAATTTCCTGAGTGTCCTGGTGGGACCGTGCAGTGACTATAAGGACTACATCGACTTCATAGAGGGCAGACACATCAGTCAGAGGCTCAGGCAGCACTCTGGGACATGTAACGGGCAGAACGGCTATGATATGACCCTGAACCCATCACCTATGGTAAGTTCTGGAAGGCGTATCTGGTGGCTGCTCCCTCAGTGACACAGCACAGCCAGGGACTATAGAAGAAGTGGGTTTAAGTTTATTTTAGACTACTTTTCTTTTAGTGTTCTCCTACTTCCAGTTTTGCATTCCCCAAAACTTTTTCTGGCATATCAGGGCAAAGCACACAGTCACTGCTTTGGTCTCCTCTACCTAATAATGTCACCAACCTAATGAGGAATTCCTTTTAGTGTAAGAAATCAGAAATAAAATCACCATAAAGCTGTAATTATCCTTGTTGTTTGGTCTGAAATATAGGCTTTTCAATAAGCAGTAATAAAAATAGACACTTCTGGGCTGATGTGGACTAGACCGAAAAAACGCTTCTGAAACGGCTGTAGTTATTCAGTAGCACACAGGTGGCTGTTCTAAGTTCAGTAAGATTGTGGCATCCAGAGCTGTCTACAGATACTATCTGTTCCAGGTGAGGGAAACAAGTTCCAGTTTAAAGAGACCTTGTAAAGGGACAGTGAACGAATTCAGCAGCGCACAGAAACAAACCAATGATTGGTTTCTGAATTTCTGTTGATTGAAACAAAAAAAGAAAACAAACATTTGCTCTGAACATTCATCCTGCAAACACTGATGGACGTTATTAATTACTCGACTTATTTGCAACCTGCTGGCTGTAAATGTAACTATTAAGATCTTAAGAAATAGACAAAGGCTCCTCATCCAGAGGCTTTTGGTACATCTTGACACACTGAAATCTTCAGTGCTTGTATATAGTCCTACTGCTGTCACTGCTTCAGTCTCAGTTCTAAATGCAGCTCATTTCCTCTTGTCTCAGCTGGACCTGATTTCTCTAAATGACTTTGGATAGTTTGTTTATTCTGTCCATTCGCAATGTGTGTGTCCATTGTCTCTGCAGAGTGCTGTGTGTCGAAAGCTGCTGGTCTGCTGCGGTTGTATGCTTTTCCACCTAATTGTGACTCGGTCCTTGCCGATTACTTACAACATAGACCCCCAGTTTGTCGCCCATGCCCCCTTCCTCACCAGGCTCACCTACGCTGTATTCTCCGCACAAGCAGTGAGGATCAAATACTACTTTGCATGGACACTAGGTGAGCACTGTGCATGTGTACCTGTGCTTCTGTTGTATTTGGCCCCTTGTCAGATGCTCATATGAGGGGAAAGTTTTATTGCCATGGAAGTTATGATTTTTTTTTTCCCCCTGTCCTGTCAGCTGATGTAGTCAACAATGCTGCAGGTTATGGTTTCAAGGGGATGGATGAAAATGGAAAGCCATCTTGGGACTTCCTCTGCAGCGTCAACATCTTGGGGGTTGAGGTAGCCTCAGTGTTTCACATCATTTAGGAAAATAATTATTTCATTCATGTTGGTCAGAGTCTGTAATTGATAGAAACTTTATTGCAGACTCAAGGTCTAAATTTTGAATAATAAAAATAACAAACAATAAAAAACCACCACAAAACAACAACCATTCCACTACTATCCCTTTAAGAGGCAAGAATACCAGTATTTCCAGAGTACTGATGTACTGTATATCGCATGTCGCTATATGTAGTGTTAGTCAACAATAAAACAATGTGGTTTTCAGAGCTATTCAAGCGACAGATAAATTTATACATCAGGTTTCTTAAAACAGCTGATAAAGTACTAACTCGAAGTGACACAAACAATTCACTGGCACTCACCCATCTAGGCCTTTTCAGTAATAGTCTCAAGGCGTCATTATAAGCCACAGTCAATTTCCAAAGACTGCCTTTTTTATAATTAGACCATAGATGGGCAGTGTACAAAGAGGAACAATGTGCTCTAAATAGTCAATTTTACCTCATCCGAGCATGAACCAAATTTCTGTGCTAATACCTTTGCTTGCACATACAACATATGGCACTGCCGATACATATCCCCGTCATTGGTCAATCAACAATCATTTATAACATACCCAGATACTTAACTTCATTACATACAGTTAAAATATTACCAGATAGCTTAAAAAAAAGGAAACACAAGGGACCTGTCCTCTTTTGAACGGCATATCATAACACTTTTAACAATATTATACTTAACATCATAAAGATCTCCAAATACAGAACACACATTCAAGAGCTGCTGAAGACCTGATGAACTAGGACTAAATACCACAAGGTCACCTGCGTACATTAATTGAGCACACAGTTACTGTTATGTGGTTGTTCTTATTTATCGCTCTCTTTTCAGGCTGCAACCAGCTTAAAGACATTTATAGACAACTGGAATATTCGAACAGGAATCTGGCTCAAAACGTAAGTGCTGCAATGACTTCATTAAGTCAGAAAACATTTGATCAGCTTTCCATTTCACAAACTTGAATACATTTGATTCCTCTCATCTCCTCAGGGTGTGTTATGACAGAGTCCCCAGGTACAAGGTGCCTTTGACCTTTATCCTGTCTGCCTTGTGGCATGGAGTTTATCCAGGGTACTATTTTAGCGCCATCACTGCGATCCCTATCACCATAGCAGCACGAGCAGTGAGTACTAATAAATGCTCCAGTGCAGAGCCAACACCAAATGGAAAAGTCCGTTTTTTTTTTCCCATTGTAATTTTACAATTTTGACAGCTGTATTAAATGTCCAACCTTTCCAGGCTGGTTGAGCAGCTTCACCTGAGTTTTCAGACGGGAACCAACAAGAGTATCCCGCTGACCTGTGGATCAAAGCAGATGTTATTCCACAGCGGAATATAACATAAATAAATGTAGTATCTGTAGTTTTAATTCACACAATATGAGGATAAATGGATGAAGGAAAGTTAAACAGTTCTTGCTTATGTAGCTTCACTGGGTTAGCTGAAATGATG